ATAGGTGGCTGTACAAATCATACAACTAAATAAAATAAAATAAACGCATTATGACTATAGATAGTTTTGCAGACCCCGATTTGCAGAATGCAAAAAAACCACCCCATTTTCTATCCCTTTCTAGGTTACAGTGTCTCCTCTGTCCTTCAGATGCTACACCCAGAGTGTAAGAACCTCCCTGAGCCCAATCTGCTTCCCGGACAGCTCTCCCATGGGATGGTGGGGGTGAAGGACGGCAAGGTCCAGTGGATCTCCATGGCCTTTGAGTCGGTGAGAGCCCCCCCCCCCCCCGATTTTTCCAGTTCTGGCTTTCTGAGATCGTCGCGCCCTTTTCATCTCCAGAACTGAAAAACGGACCAAGATCCTAGTCCTTAGGAGTCAGGGCTTCTAAAGAAACCTGCAGGGAAAAAAAAAAGTAAAAGTGCTTAGTGTCCTGGATACTTTTCCCAATAGGGTCACACACAGGGGTGGGATTCGGCCGGTTCAGACCGGTTGGGCCGAACCGGTTGTTTAATTTTGCATCTGGTTCGCCATACCGGTATTCGAACCGACCATCTGGCCCCGTTCACCCCTCCCCTCCCTTCCCCGGAGTCTCCACGTGGCCCATTTTCGATGCAGGTAAGTGCAGGAGGCTCTGGGAGGGCGAAAACGGCCCTCCTGAAAGTATGGCCACGCCCACCATGGCCACGCCCCCCCCAGCAACTGCGCAGTGATTTTTGAATCCCACATCTAACCTGAAGAGCAATTTGGGTATTCAGGGGAAAGAAAAATTGAATAAATTTCGGCGATGCTTCCCACACCCCTTTTCCTCCTGTGGGCTCAGCTGCCTCTTATCCAACCATTGTCCAGTCTGCAGCTTCCCTTCTGCCCACCAAGGTCATTCCCACTTGCAGGAAGAGCGCACTCACTTGGCCCAGGAGAGGCAGGACTGCGTCCACTTTCGGTCACCGTATTATAAAATAACGTTGAGACTTTGGCCCGAGTGCAGAGAAGAGCAACCAAGGTGATTAGGGGACTGGAGGCTAAAACGTACGAAGAACGATGGCAGGAACTGGGTATGTCTAGTTTCATGAAAAGAAGGACCAGGGGAGACATGATAGCAGCCTTCCAATATTTGAGGGGCTGCCCCAAAGAAGAGGGAGTCAAGCTATTCTCCAAAGCACCTGAGAAGGCAGGACAGGAAGCAATGGATGGAAACTAACCAAGGAGAGAAGCAACCTTGAAATGAAGAAGAAATTTCCTGACTGTTAGAACAATTAACCAGTGGAACAGCTTGCCACCAGAAGTTGTGGAGGCTCCAGCACTGGAGGTTTTTAAGAAGAGAGTAGACAGTCATTGGTCTGAGATGTTATAGGGTCTCCTGCTCAAGCAGGGGGCTGGACTATAAGACCTTCAGGGTGCCTTCCAGCTCGATTCTGATACTCTTTTGCTCCGGAGAACAGAACCAGTGAGTGCAAACTTCAATCTAGACATGAGGAGGAATTGTATGACTCTGTTGGGCCATCAGGAAGAGGAACAAACGCTGCCTTGTCTGGAATATAATAGTCTGCTTGAGTCGCTGTTATTCTGCCTTGTCCTTTTCCTCTAACGTCCCGCTCCTTCCTTCCTTCCTTCCTTCCTTCCTTCCTTCCTTCCTTCCTTCC